CACTAAGCATAAAATATACAAGTACCAATAATTTAGGAAGTAACCGTGTAGAGTGGTCTGAAAATTATATGTATGGCAGTAGTGCAAACAGCAAAAAGAAGGTGCAGACTCCATAAAATTGGATGCCCACTTACAACAGGATGCTGTGGTTGTGAGTGGGAGGTGAGGTAGAGCAGGGAGAGAGTTGAGCAACCTTACAGCCTGGTGGACGGAGCTGTCCCGTTTGTTTATATAGCATCAATTCACAACATGGGTTATCTCAGGGCATTGTACAAAATCAATAACATATAATATAAAATGCTAATTATTAACCGTTATTTCACTTAGGAAGCACATTGGTTACAATGGAAAGGAATAACACTTTTTTAACAGGAATTAAGCTTCAGCAGAACCAGGCTCACTACAGGCCTTGACAGACTGAGGTTTGAGACGACAGGAAAGACATGGGCAAATTCTGAAGGTCTGGACCTGGTGTAGTTTTCTTTGAGAAGAAAGATAAAGAAAAACACATGTAAAGGATATTAAGAAGTTATTAAACATCTGAGTGGCACACTACTGCTACTAGTGGTGAGAAAGTGTATTGCAATATAATATCCCGCTGCCCTCACGACCAACTGTTGAAAAACAGATTTTTCTTTTGAGGCCCTCAAGGTGGCGATTGGGCTCTAATTGTGGGTCGCAGCCCAAGGATTAARAATCTCTGATCTAACGAACATGTTGATGGTTGGAATAAAGCTAATATTTTTGACAATTCAGAAAGCTGAGGTTGAGAGATAAAGCCCCTTCCTCACGAGCGTACCTTTAAGCCAAATGTGTCTCCATGTTCAGTTCAAACTATGATTTTGACATCCACAGAGCACTGCCTGTGGATTGGCTGAATCGAGGCAAACTCATCCTGGATAAAGGTGCAAACATTTTCATCTACTTTAGGAAACAAGCACACAGCTTGGACTCAAAATAAGCAAATATACCGCGAGGTTTCAGACAAACTGGCTGCACACGGTTACACATTTGCGCTTATAAACAGTGCTGCAACAGATAATAAAAAAAGATTGAAAAACCACAAAGGCCAAAGCTGTCCGCTAACGATGCACCCGCAATCACGCTCACACAGTGAGGAACACACTGCCATGGAGACACACTTGAGTAAAACCGTACAGACATGAAGGGATTAGAGTGAGACTTGACAACGGACAAGTGGTGCTCTCTGTTGCATAACTCTGCAAGATGAAGGAAAATTGTAATGAAAGACTTTTTTTTTTATTTGGTTACTGCATTCTCTGATAAACATCTACTAGAATGAAACATACTATCAGTGGCTGTGTGTCAGTGTAAAAGCAATGGTTATTAAAAACTGTCAGACAGAACACAACAGATTGTGAGGATATAATAAGTGCTTCCTCTCTATGCAAAACAACACAAGAACTAAAACACGAGCGGTGTTTTGGGATTTTCTTACCTCCAATTTACACTACACGCGTCTCCGTTCCAGTCTGACCTCCGCAGCAAATATGCACCCATTCTAATACTGGCTGTGCACGGCGGCGGTGAGCGGACGGCGATCCATCAAAATTAGATCCAATCCTATTTTTGCCGGACGCCGGAGCTGCTCCGGACTCAATTTTTAAAGATTATGTCACACCAACAGGAAAAGGAACGAACTCAACATCCGTATTTTCAGAATAAGGCACTATAAGGTGGAATAATTTTGTCGAAATTGCAGCTATATTAATTAGGGCTGCACCGATTAGTTGAAATAATCGATGA